GGCGTGCGCGCGGGGGGGGGGAGGTGCGGGTGGTGCAGGGACGCAGGCCTCATCGTGGCAGCAGCTGGCGAGCAGTGGCGGATTGTTGACCTGGCTGCAGCTGGCGCGGGCCAGTGGGCGGGCTGAGTGGGCCAGTGGGCGGGCTGAGTGCAACGGATTAACCCATGGTCACGACGCAAGTCGTGCCGTCGAGTCCTACCCATGCACCCAAGAGTCCCTCTGTGCTGAAAGGCTTGCGCAAGTGCTGCCCACACGACACAATCCTGCCCACCTTGCTGGTCGCCGCCCCCCCACGCAGGGTCTGGTGATCATGCGCGCCACCCGGGTGGGCGGCGGCACCGTGCTGGCCGGCATCGCGCGGCTGGTGCAGGAGGCGCAAGCCAACAAGGCGGCCATACAGGTGGGGTGATCGGAGGGTTGGGCTATTTGGGTGCAGGCGCGCCTTGAGCACTTGACGCCTTGGTTTCGTGTCTTTGGCGCAGAGGAGTGACGGGAGGGGCAGGCTCTCAGCAGTGTCTGATCAAGCAGGCACGACTGCCTCGAGGCGGGCCCGTTCATACTCATCAGCGCTGCTTGCTATCTCAAACCTTGCCGGCACAACCAAGCCGGCCACCCCTGAGCCTGCAGCTACGCAACCACCTCCACCTCCTGCTGCCTTGCCTTTTGTTGACCACAAATCAGCCCACCCCCCTCCCCCCCCACCCCTGCGAACAACACCCTGCCGGCCTTCCCACCACCCCCATAGCTGCTGCGACAACCAACCGCAACCACCACCCAACCCACAACCAACCCGCAGCTGCTGGCAGACAAAGTCGCGTCCTGGTTCGTGCCCGTTATCATCGCCCTGGCGGCGGCCACTTTTGCCACCTGGGTGGCCCTGGGCGCAGCAACCCACCGCCTCGAGCCGCTGCCGCCCGGGGTGTCGCCGCCGCTGCTGGCGCTGCTGCACGCGGTGTCGGTGCTCGTCATCGCCTGCCCCTGCGCGCTCGGGCTCGCCACGCCAACTGTTGCCATGGTGCGGCCTGCCGCCGTGCCTCGAATGTCCATTCAATTTCCGACGCGCGTCTGACAATATCCCTCGACCCTTGTTTTGCGGACTCAGAGCGCCGAACACGCAAGCCGCCAGGGCTGCTTCGGGGGAGGAGCGGGCAGGCAGGCCAAGGAGGGCCAGCAGCACGCAGCCTGACAGCACGCCTCCTTTTGCCCCAGTCCTCCTCACAACACACACACATATACACATGCTTACACACACACATACACACACACACACATTCTCTCTTACATTCAAAGGTCGCCACTGGCGTTGCGGCCAAGCTCGGTATCCTGATCAAGGGCGCCGCCGTGCTGGAGCAGGCGCGCGGCGTGGGCACCGTCGTGTTCGACAAGACAGGCACGCTCACCCGCGGCCAGTGCAGCCTGCTGCGCGTGGTGTGGTTCTCAGCCGACGGCGGCAGCGACGACGGCGAGGGAGAGGCCTGCGGTGAGGTCTGCGGGGACGATGGCCGCAGCGGTGGGGCGCGGGGCGGGGCGCGGCGGAAGGTTATCCAGCTGATTGCGGCGGCGGAGGCGGGCAGCGAGCACCCGCTGGCGCGGGCTGTCGCGGCGTACGCAGAGTCGCAGCTTAAGAAGGAGCCGGGCGGCGACGCCGCCGCCGCTGCTGGTGGTGGTGGTGGTGGTGGCGATGATGTTGCCATCGTCGACGATGATGAAGCGCCACCGCTGCACGTTGAGGCAGTCGAGGCCGCCCCCGGCCGCGGCATCAAGGCCCTTGCGCCCGCAGCCTGGCGCGCCGTCGCCGCTGCGGCCGTCGCTGCCGCAGCCGCCGAGCCGGACGCGCCGCCGACGTCGGCGGTGTGCGACCAGGCCGCAGCGGGGCTGGCGGCTCCGCCGCGGCCCGCCGGCGGCAGCAGCTGCTGCAAGCGCGTGTCGGCGCCACCGCCGTCGCAGCCGTCGGGGCTCGCGGCCTCGGCGGGGCAGGTCGGGGTGTATGTCGGCAACGCGGCATGGATGCGCGAGTGTGGTGTTGCGCTGCCGCAGGCGGCACTGGACCGCGTGGCGGCTCTCGAGGCGTCTCTGGGCGCGACCGTGGTGGTCGCCGCCGTCGGCGGCGCCGCGGTCGCGCTGCTGGCGATCGCGGACGAGACGCGGCCCGAGGCGGCGGGCGTGCTGCGCGCGCTGGAGCGGCGCGGGGTGGAGGCGTGGATGGTCACGGGAGACAGCAGGTGCGGGGCGCGGGATGGGGCGGTGGTTCTGCACGCGGCGGGTGGGGCGGCTGCGCTTGGAGGGTGCAGTCGTCAATGGTGGCGACGAGTTTGGCCGCAAGGGTCGGTCTAAAACGCAGACTGGGAGAAGGAGGGAGGGTCGCACCGCACCTTCTTTTCCGGTCTCGCAGTGCTCGCTCAGCCGCGGTCCACAGAGGACCCGCTGCTGTCACCAGCACCGCACAGCCACCCCTGTCGGCCCCGTCCCAACCCGCCGCGCCGAAAACCCTCCCCCGCGCCGCCCCCCAGGCGCGTCGCGGCCGCGCTGGCGCGCCGGCTGGGGCTGCCCCTCTCGCGTGTCGTGGCAGAGGCCACCCCTGCCCAAAAGGTCGAGGCCATACGCCGCCTGCGGGCCTCCGCCGCCGCCGACGGCCACGGGCGCGGCGGGGACGGCGGGCGCGCCGGCCTCCTGCGCCGCTGGGCGCCGTTCACGCG